ATTAACACGATTTTGCACAAATCATGAAATGGTTTGAAGCGCAAAAATAATCGGTGTGCATCGTTGTCTGTGTACTGGACAACACGATTCTGTCATTAAAAACGCCCCACCTTACTTCCGTGAAAAGTTATTAAAGCTAGAAACTTGTTTCGAGATACTAAGTCGTAATTGCGAGATATAAAGTCGCAATTGCGAGATATAAAGTCGCAATTGTGAGATATAAAGTCGGAATTGTGACTTACTAAGTCGCAATTGCGAGATTCCATGGCTTATATTTTTTTTACTAGCCTTATAGAATCATTCCCTCAATTTCCCCGGTGATTTGCAACTTCTCCCCATGTCAGCTCTGAATCTCGATCTTCTCATCCACAGACCCGGCGGAGACGGCGTATTCCAACTAGAGGTTGACCGATATATCGGCCGGCCGATATATCGGGCCGATATTTAGCATTTTTTAATGTATCGGCATCGGCCGATATCCGAGTACACTACACCGATTTTCAGACAGGCACGTCTGCGGGCAGCCCAGTGTTATTGTTGCTGTGGAACACGTGACCCATGCTGCCTTGTGCAGGACCACAGCCAGAAGTTTTGGAAGAGTCCTGGGCAGTGTTGCCAACTTAGCGACTTTGTCGCTAGATTTAGCGACTTTTCAGACCCCCTTGACGACTTTTTTTCAAAAAAGCGCCTAGCAACAAATCTAGCGACTTTTGGACAAACCTTAGCAACTTTCCAAATGTCGCCAGTACTGTCCAGTAAGCGCGAGGTCTTGCTTTCCCGGTACAGTTACTCATCTCCCTGTGTCTGCTCTGATCAGTGAGCGCTAGCTCCGGCTGAAAGGAGCAGCATATTCCCGTGACCGCACGGCAGCTGACATAGATGTGAATGAGCTGCGCATGTGCAAATGGTGTTGCCACGGACCAATCACTTACCTGCTTCTCCTTTGCTTGAAATAAAACTATTTAATTTGACCGTTTCTTCTTATTTTTTCTCATTTATTTTATTTTTTCTTCTGATGCACTTATATTACTCACTGTTACAGAGCTTAAGTTCATTCCAGTTTCTGAACTCGTCTGAGATCGTTTACTGAGCTACATCTGATTGACTGTACGTGATTCTACTTACTACTTATCGTTACACAACGATAAACTTCATTAAACTTATTAAACTCATATGCACATAAAAAAACATATATACGTATAATATAAATGTTGTCTGACAGAAAATATGTAACGTAATTGATAGTTTTATATTGGACACGTGAGGAAGGATTAGGGAAAACACGCAAAATGCAAATATGACGTAATTGCGTCATCAATATGCAAATATACGCATGACGTCATCTACCGACATTTGGCGACTTTTCGAGCAGACTTTAGCTACTTTCCATTGAAAATAGTTGGCAACACTGGTCCTGGGATAAAACGGTAAGGCTTAAATTCTGATCT